GTGTGAGTTTTTGGTTGTGGATGCGGGCACAGCGTTCTTTGAAGGCTCCATTTTTAAAGAGCATTGCTAGGCGTCTTGACAGGGTTGTGATAGCCATTCCGATGTAGGAGGCATTTGCCAGGAGCTCGCAGTCTCCTTTATTACACTTGTACTCGTAAATGACGTTCACTTGCTGTAGATCTGTTGTCTTTTTAGCAGGGCTGTTTTTCACAATAAGGTCCGACATTGTGGTAGACTTGTAGTAGATGTTGAGTTGCAGTTTTGTGTTCTGTTTCTGCAATGAACAGGTGCAGATTGACTTAATACTTTCTGTTATCTCCCACTCAATGCAGATTTCAGTATTCCCCGTGAGGCATCTTTGGCTTCATGGTGGATTATATCTTTTCCAGCATATAGAAATAGAGATATAACAATGGTGATGAAGGAGCTGTAAAAAACAACAAATTAACCAACAACACACCAGTCTCTGGGAAGATTAGAGAATGATGATAGGTGGGAGGAAAACCCAGAGGCAGATGAAACTGCAATGTGGTGCAAGTAATTTGTCATTGGTCATCCAGATCATTGCTTGCAAGGTCTCATTCAGGAGATGTCAATGATGAAAGGCATGGGAAGTTATGAGATGATGAATTTGATGGGAGGTGACATTAAAAAGTTGAAAGGCATTCTCTCTCATAGAAGAATACACAATCTGAATGGTTGTTTAACCCAAGGCGTTAAGTCATAAAAAAAAAGGAAGCCAATGGCAAGAAAAGACAATTGTTATGTATTGGAGCCATAAGATATATAACACTGTACTAGTTGAACAGGGCAAAGGAGACAATTAAGACCAGAATGGTCATAGAGAGAAGAAATTCAAGGTAAGGGGATTGAGAAAACATACAATTACCTTTCTGAACAGTCCAAGTATTGGTGAGAAAGGAGCCATCTGGAAATAAAATTAACCTTTCCCTGTGATAAAGAGTGTGGGAAATGTCTAAGGCAATAATGTCAACATCTCCTGCAAGCGAGAAGAAATATGTCTTTAAAGAAAGAATGGTACAGGGAACAGGTGTCAAAAGGTTTGAACAAGAGCCCAAAGAACTAAATAAAGGTTGCAGTCCAGAAGAGGAATTAGACAAGAAGGGATATTGAGGAGAGGCTTGGAAAAAATCTGTAAGAACTGGAGAAAGAAAAAGTGAAAGGCTAGGGAAGAAATGAAAGGTCACATACAAAGCCACTCTGTAACCCATGACTGTCAAAAAGAAAATGAAATGAGGAAGAGTTGGATGGCCTGGGGGGAAGGGAGTGATCAATGGATCAGCATGGTAAATCATCCATTTGTGTTGATAAAGTACAAGAGTGGATGGCCAACAAGAGGAAGCATGAAAATGGGCTACCTTATGAGAAAAGTCTGCCCATCTTACAAAAGATTGGACACTAATGAAGATGAAGGCATGACAAATTGTGGTGAAAGATGGATATTCCAGGTTACATAAGAGGGACCTCCAAGCTGGAAGAGATTCCTGAGATATGAAGAGGTGCAGGAGTGGAAACCATGACTGAGATGACCAAAGGATCTGAGAAGGATCTGGCAATAGATGTCATGAATAAGAGACAGTAGAAGATGAGGATAGGAATAGAAAAAAAACTGATCCAATCCTGACTCACAGAATCTGTGGTCAGAGCTGCAGAGTCGGGAACTGGTGACCAGAAAAGTGGAAGCTTGGTGTTGAGAGAAATAGCAAATGCATACATAAGAGGACTCCCAATATGGTAACAAATCCACTAAAAAACCAGAGAATGGAGAGGCCATTCCATGGGAAGATTCAGGTCAAAGAGATATAGACAATCCACCATCAGGTTCAAAAGCTCCCAACATATGACAGACCTACAACTGAATGTGGCCCACGGAGAAAATCTAGAGGTCCAGAGTGTCGTTTTTGTAGACTGATATAAGAAATGGTAGTGAATTGTTCAAATGAATTATAACAAGATGACCAGACAAATGAGATAAAAAAAATGGCAAGCTCATTAAGCAACAAACTTCTCAAGGACATAGAAATAGAGAAAATGCTCATCTGGAGATCAGATCCCAGAAAGGGTACAGATGTCTAGAACTGCCCTACCTGAAAAGAGAGGCAGTGGTGATTAGATGTAGGTGTAGATGATGTGGGGAAGAGGGATTCTCAATAACATGCAAGACTGATAGAATCATCATGATAGCAAGATTTGAAGAAATACAAGAGAAGACAGTGGATCTATGGACATATTTTATTGGCTGGCCAGAGTCCACTGAAGGAGATGCATACAAGAAAATCCAAAAAGAACATGGAACATGGGAGAAGCCAAAGTCACCCAAAAGAGACAGAACTTTTCATGGAAGAAGAAAAAGGAGGCATGAGACCTTTGGGAATCAGAAGCTCCGTGTCTTGAAGACATAAAGGAAACGATTGAACCTGCCTTGCAAATGAGTTGAAAAAAGGTTCTCAAAGAATCAAATACTTGTTGGGGGTCAACACAAACTTGGAGAAGTTGACCAGCCAACTGAAGTGAGATGACTTCTGAAAGAGAAGTGGGGTTGTAGCTGAAGATGTTTATGGAACAAGAAGGAGCCAGTCATCAAACTTAGTAGTAGAAATGGAGGCTCAACAAATGCATCCTCTATGCAATTACTCTCAGGACCTGAAAGAAAATGTATGGGGCCAAAGTTAACCACAAGCGAAGAGCTCAAAACTGAAAAATTTGTCTGTCTTGATTAACTGGAGGAAGCAACAAGCAGATAGACAAATTGTAATAAAGAGAAAAGTGTCCAAAACATCAACTTTGTGATTCACTGTGTGGGAGAGAACACCCACTTTAGATTTAGAAATAGTCCCTCTTGAACTGAGTTAAAAAAATTGGTTCAAGAATAATAGATCTATTACAGGTCACAAATCTCCCATCTTCTTGGGTATGACCAAAATGGGTAGTAGTAGAAACACCATAAAGGGGTTGAGGAGATGTTCCATTGCATTCATAACCTGCAGATAAAACACTGCCTTCTCCAAGTGCCATAGATACAAGGAATTTGAGGGTATAGAAAGACAATCAGAAGAAGAAAGAGGAGGTTGAATACAAATAGGGATGGAAAGTCTGTAAGAAATCATCTATGTGACACAAATGTTTCCTTCTGCAAAGGGAGTCCACAGATGTGTAAAGAGAGAGAGAGAGCAGAGATGAGCCAAGGGGTGGCTCTAGAAACAAGTCACCTTTACAATCTGTGATGGCCAGCCCTCAATGAGGGGGATGTCAAAAAGTAGCAACAGGACAAGTAACAGGAAATGGAGTGACCCTGTAAGGCTCCTGAGGATGAGAAGCCTGTTGGGACCCCCTGGAGCAGGCAAGTCAGGAAATCAAAGTGAGAAGAGATGAATGCTTATGAACAGCCTCAGCTCAAGTTTCCAAAGTGTAAGAAACACCTGCAAAAAACCTTGTCTGAAAGAAAATTTTCCACATGAAACTGAGGGAGGCAACACCTGAAAGTAAACAAATACCAGAAAAAGAGACACAATGTTAACTGGGGCACTGCAAAAGAAGATACTGAGGCAAAGGTAGAGAATAGGTAGGTGTGGTTGTCCCTATAAAGCTGTTCAAGTAGTGATGTAAAACTTCTGAGAGAAGGTGAAGCACTGACAGTGAAGGAGCTGTGCAAGAGCAAGACAAATACAAGCACCTTGAAGGCAAGTGAGATATAAAGAAGGATAAAGGGGAGATCCAAAGACATAAGATAAAATTTGAGGAACTGAAGCTAAAGGAAAGTAGCAAAATCTTGAAGATAAGTTTCTCAAGGTCACAAAGGATGAGATAGTTGAGAAAACAAAAGTACTCATTAGACAATAAGGTTTAACTGAAAGTTAAAGTACTGTAAGCAATGCAAAAAACCTGTAATTCTGAAAACAAAGAAATATGCCTGAAGATATACATCGCCAAGGAAAGGCTGAGCCTTTGTTCAAATACTAGTGCCCATGGATGTGTCATCCTCCCATTAGTAGAGGCCTACAGTTTTATGATGGTTACATCCATAAGCTATTGCAGTGCACATTAATACATTTATGGGAGGGAGTTTTGTTCAAGGCATACAAAAAAAAA